AGAGCGTGGCTGTGTAGAGAACCACACAGCAGAACGCTCCCGTTTTAAAACTGAATATTCAAAGTTGCACCTTGGTACTTAAATCACATCACGACTTCATATGAGGAGAGAAAGGCCTGTATTATGTATTGAAACAAGAGAAAGTTTGAATTGTTTTTTTTAAAAGCAGAATTACTGTTCTTGGGCAGCATGCAGGAGTTTACAGAAAAGTTACATTTGGCAGCAGAAGCTGGTTAGTAGAATTAAAACAAACAACTCACCTGGGAAGATAAATTGTTGTCTATGCTGAATGTAGTAGGCAGCTTTTTTATACATATATTAAAAGAAAAAAAAAAAGAACAGCAAAAAAAATGACCAGGAGAAAAAAAAAAAACACAAACAAGTTAGCAGATCATCAGTAAGTGCCCCATGTGCATTCAATGAATTAGTCCCAACTCCCTGCTGGGAATCAGATTAGTGGATTATCAGCCTGCTCGAGGGGGTGAATTTCAGCACATGCAATTTTGGAAGACCTGAGGGATGACACTTACCTAACGAAAGCTATGTTACCAATAAGCAGATGGTCAGGTGGGAAAGCACCCTGTTCAGATTACAAGTGGCAGGAGCACATTTAGAGAACCCGGGGTGCTCAGGGGCAGGCCCGTGGAAGGCTCGTGCTTCGATGCTCCCTCACGTCTTCAGCTTTTCAGAGATGCACCCAGAGAAGCTGAAGCTTGGGAGCCATCTGCGTTTGCTTTATTTCAGTGAATTTGAGCAGTATGTCCTAATACAAAGTAGTTGCAGTAGAATCCTTGTACTAAACCGGCTCTGCTTCTGCTCCTTTTGAGTTAAGCTAGAATAGGAACTCTCACTCACAGATCAAAAGCTTGATGGGAAATACAGGGATGTTGAAGGCTAGAGGTAGCAGCTACTGAGTAGTGTGTGGCTTCATTCCCAGATCAAAGGAATTAAATTTATTCTCACTATGTAAATCTTTGCCCTTGTCAGAGATGCTTGCTGCTATCGACTTTGGTAAAGACTGCACATTTGGGTTCTTAATCTGTAAAGTATGTAGGGTAAATTCTTCTCCACCATACGTGTATGTTAATGGTTTAAAAAAGTGTGTTGATTGCAAAGTAATTCATTGCAGGTCTCATTTTTACATCTTGCTCTAGCAATCAACGTACTCATGATTTAAAGCCACTGGTGACCAAACACAGCAAGCAGCATGCATTTTACAAAACAACAAGAAAAAGGAGGAGAAAGAACACGATTTATTTATTTTAGTACTTTTTCTTTTCACCAAAGGAGAAAACAGAAAGAGCCAATCATTTAAGAAAGGTGCCAGGGTTCCTCAATCACCTGTCTCCTGCAAAGGTATCTTGTTGATACCACCTACAGAACTTGTCAGAGCAGATCATTTTCTTTTACCAGGTAACAAGACACACCTTCACACCCTGCTTAAGACACAACCATGTATTTGGAAATCTGCAGCTACCTACGAAGCCTTGGTCAGCCTCTGGCTGCACAGAGGCCTTTCTGATCTTGGCAGAGGTCTCCTGAAAAAGCTGAGTTTACCTGGGAAGTTGAACCGTCCGTCCCTCTGGCCCATCGGAGATGGGTTTGGGGGAGGTGTTGCACTGGGAGGGTTGGAAGACTGGAAAGGTGCTGGAGAAGATGGTGTGGATGAGGTTGTAGAAGAAGGATTACTGCTAGAGTCCAGATGATTTATTGCTGATGGATGATCCTGCAGAGCAAGGAAAGTCACTTGTGAGAAAACAACAACAAAAAAATAATTCCCCTCAGTGTTTACCAAGCCATAGAGAAAGGCAAGCTGTCCCTAGCTTCCATCATTGCACAGTTTTTCCATGTGAGTAGGCACCTGGAGCTGCGCACAACCTGTGTTTTACAAGGAGAAAAATGGCACGTATCGAAGCCTCCTTGCACAGTGAAAGCTCAGAGTGTGTTCTTGCTCCAGCCAGAGCAAGCCCTGCTGCCGCCCCTCCCTGCTGTAGCTCCGCAGTGACTCACAGACACAAGGCTCACTTCGGTCGCCACGTACCTTTTTAGTTAGTGCTTTGGGAAGAGTTCCAAACTGTGGTTCTGTTGGTCTGTCTACTGGATTGTTGATATCAGAAGGGACAGACTCTGTTCTTCTTATTTTTGTTACTGAAGAACAGGTTGGAGAAGGGAGAAGAAAGCTTTAATCAAACTTTTTATTCTTGCGATACCGACAATTACATTGAAATGCTACAAGTTCGTGGAAAATTACTTACTGGGAAGGAAAGATATTCTACAAGCAGGTGCCTCTTTAGTACATTTGTTGTGACATTTTAATCTGAAAGAGAAACATTACATGTTAAATAGCAACTTGTTCTTCCCAAAAAGAGGAAGCCTACCCTTAATTTGTAATTCTTATGCTAATCTCAGAGGGAGTTCTGGAATGCTCCGGGCCCCAAAGCAGCAGCATTCATATGAAGAATCTTATTATGTGTGTCATTAGGCTAATGAAAGCCATATACATATCTTAGCATCTGATTTATTTCTAACAGTTACCTTCACTGTCTCTCACCCAGCAACAGTGAAGCACTAAAATCTCAGCGTTGGGAACTAACAACCCAGACAGAGAAGCAAGAACTAAAATCCTTGCAGTTATTTAGGTATCCAGCTCCCGCTACAAGCTTTGCCCGCGATCAGGTAGGAAGCTTGGGGCAGGGAAATAAATGTGGTTCATCCATGTGTTGGGCTGCCAACCTGAAGTTGTGCCAAAGCATCCCTTTGCCAGGTCAGAAGCTGAGTGAAAAAATGATGCCACTGCTAAGAGCGTGTGACATCAAGAGGTACATGCTACCGGCCAGCTTTAGGGAATCAAATGCAAAGTTCTGAAAAATATCACTGTGTGCTCACCTGCAGTACTTACACTTCACCCCGAACATCATGCTTTTCTGACAGACTTGGCATATCTGAGATAACCAAGACTTTGTAGAGAACCTAAGTAGAGACAAGAGGGGAAAAATCATGTTAAGGAAAATGATGTAAAGGAACATTAACATGTGTAGGCAGTTATGGACAGGCTGTACTTCTTGAGCTCCTTGGGAAAAGGGGAAGTGGTGGTGTGGAAAAGACTTCTCACTTCTGATCAAAAGCACCTGCAAAGGGTGGCACCAGTTCTGCCGGCCTCTTGCTGGTTCTCCACTCTTGGAACAGGGCTGAGAGGTGCTCAGAGGCGTCTCTGACAAGGAGACAGGGCATGCATGAGCACACAGCTCTAGAAGGGCCTCAAAGCCGCAGGTCAGCACCTGCAGGTGTGAAGCCTCATGCAGCCAAAGAACACTTCTTTTCATAAAAACCCTCAAGCTGGAATTGAGCTTCACCTCAGCAATCAAGCAAGTGCTCTGGCAGGCAGCAGCCAGCCCGCACCCCAAGTGCGGATCCAGCCCGTGAGCGGGGCTCCCGCTCAGCCGCTGGTGTCCCTCGTCAGGACATGCCATGTGCTGCTGGCTGCATTCACCGGAGTATCTCTGTAGAACTGGGACCCAGTTCATGGTGGGTGTGTGGTGGTGGGACTGTTATCCTTTTTACCAGAAAATTGAACAGAGAGGTTCGTTTGGCGTTAGAACTGGCTGGGGTCCAGTTTTGGCTTGGATTTGGGCAGGGGAGATGCAGGAAGCTACATGGAAGGAAAAGGGAAATATGTGCCCTTTCCACGTAGGGAGGGAGGAGCAGCTTCCCTCTCATTTGTAGCAGTGGAAGTGTTTTAGCAAAGGCTTTGTTACGCATCTGGCATGCTTGGTCCCGTTGCCCCACACACGACATCGCTACTGCTGGTAGGCAGGTCATTATGGAATCACCAGTCAATCAGCTTTGCAGAAAGGATTTCAAGTGCATATATTAAAAATAAGTGAAGCTGAAATACGTAATTTAGGCTGAACTTGGCAAATGGGGCACCCAGCCCAAACTTCAAACCCGTCTTAAGCGCCGTGACTGCTACCAACACAGAAAATGGGGCACTGGCCTGGCCTGCCCCTTCAGTTCTTGGCCCGGGTCTCCCGCAGCCCGCGTCACTCACCTGTGCGTTACAGCTAAGCCAAAGTCTCTTCGTACCATTTGAGGGGATCCTTGGGAGAGTTCTGATGGGGAACAAAAGGATGTTTTAGGGAAGCGTGCTTACCAGTGTTAGACAGACACAAAGCGATCGCTGTCACAGACGGGCTGGTAGCCACGCCTCTGTTAGCAGCACAGCTGGGACTGGCTTGCCTTCTGCTGTGAGGTTACTACCAGGTGCTGCTCTTTAATTTGTTGTCATATGGAGGCAGTGTGAGATAAGACTTGGTGGTGGAAGAGTATTTCTTCCTTCTTTTTGTTCCATCATTATGTTTTACATTCAGGGATGGAGGAACTCCACCTGATTAGGTGCAGGCCATTCTTAAAGTGGAAAGTCAGACTTTACTCCTAATTGCTTTACAACAAATACCATCACTGGTTTTCACGCAGTGTCAGTAGACTTCAGAATACTCATTTACACTGAAAATTATTATCTCCATTTTATAAACAGAGCTAGTGTGACCCAGAATAGAAAGATTTATGTGAGATCACTTAGCTAGCTGGCAGGTGCAGAAAGGGAGACACAGCCTTCAAGATGCCAGTCCAGCACTCCAGTGGTTATACCACATAACTTCCTAAAAACTCCCAAATACTAAGATTCTGGCATATTTCCTGAACTATATCTATAGCCATATTGCAGATCTGGAGAAAACTCAAACCCACAAGTATCAACACAGCTTCAAGGCCGGACACTGTCAATGCTTACAAAAAGCCAGTCTCTTTATTTGACCCTAGATGGCACTAGATTCTTTTTTTTCATTATTCCAGTGAACTTTTAAAGGCATCTGTGGTCTTCAGCATCTTAGAATAGGCTGGAATAACTAGTTACTTCTCCAAGCAATACTGCTGATCTAGTGTGGCCGTACAAACGTACAGTCATCCGAATTACTCACAATACAACAGACGGCTAAATCCTTACTGGAGAGTCCTAATGAATATAATAACAAAATTTGGAATTGAATGGGACTTAAAAGAGTCTACATTATAGATTCTAAACCAGACGATATGAGTATATAGAAGCACCAAAATTCCTCACTTCTGTTTGAATTTATTCTAATGCCTTTTTTACTTATTGCATAAATTGTATCACTCTCCACAGACAAATGCTCAGATTTCTGCTTGCATTTTCATTTTACAATTTTCTTTCTATGCTTTTTCACTTCTGAAAATAATTCCTGGGATTTTTGTTCTGAACTAGTTATTTCTAGTACCAAGTGGCATCAGTAACAGCTGCCTGAAGCCACAGACAAGCATTTACACCTAAACCCCTTGCTTTGACCCTTTAAACATCAGCATTCTTTTTCCTTGCTTTTGCCCTCTGAAAAAAAACCAAGTACAAAAAAGATCACATAAACATCCTGCAGTTCTCCAGGAGGCCAAGCTCCTGTTAGAGTTAGCAGAAACTCTGGGGTAGAAGGCCCTGTTGAGGACCTCCCGAGGTTGCACAGTGGTGGTGAACCGTTGACCAGGACAGGTTCCTCTCTCTCAGCAATGAAATGAAGACAGCCCCGTAAAAATCTCTTACCGAACCTAGAGGAAAAAAAAAATGTTTTTAGACTTTCATACTCATGTGACAGGATACACACTTGGCTAGAGCAGAAACTCTTTCCTGCAGCGTTTGATGTCAGGTTTACAAACATCTCTGGGTTTGTACAGGTTCCTGAAGTTGCTGTGTAGCCAATGTTTTCCTGCCTACAGATGGTAGTCTTTGCTGTGCCTGCTGCAGAATTTGGATGCTGACCTAAGTCTCTGTGGTAGGGATAGCCCAAGTCTTTGGAAAGCAGAGTTCTTTCCCAGTTTTAACTATCAGTTAAATGTTAGAGCAATACCTTCCACCTACTCAGAACAAAAGCGCATCTCAAAGCCTGGATCAGTCCAAAGAAAGGTGCAGCCCAAGACCATTTGTCTTGTTATGGAGATATAGTTGTCTATACTGTAATAAATGTGTTTTAAAGCTCACACTAGCAGCTAAAATACATTGCAAGATAAACACATAAAAAGATAGTGGCCACCTGAACTATGAAGAACATTTAAGGACAGAAAAGTATTCTAGTACATGGAATTGGCTACTAGATGCTTGACAAAAACTGGTTGGTGCCCTTTAATAGCAGCAACCATTCCAACCTCCCCAGCAGGTGCAATTTCAGATAAACTCAAATAAATTTCAAGTAAAGTACACTATTAACAAGCAGATTTCATGGATATCTTAGAATAACCTGATGCAGATTCTCAGGCTACAGTGAATCCATGACAACAGGGCAACTGGACACCAGCTCTTTCAGAGTCAGAGCTGGAGCACGGAAAGCCCTTTGGTATGACCACAGCCCACCAGTGCCCGTGGGGAAGGGGGGAAGTGTCACACTTACTTTATTGGAGGAACTTCATCTATCCTGTTTCCCAACTGTGATTCATGGGACTTGCTCCTTGTGAGGGTTGGAAAGTTAGGTAGCAGCTGAAAAACCTTCCGGCAAGGAGGAGGAGGAGTCCGTGGTGGCTTCAACTTATGCCTCCTCTTGGCTTGAGGAGTGGTTGGGGGAGTGATGGTGATGCTGTGAGGAGTCCTTGGCGTCAGCCTGCCACTGTGTGCAGGGAATGCAAAAGGGTCCAGGAGGTTTTCTGCATAGATAGAAGGTCCATGACTCGAGGCAAGAGAATCTGAAGATGGGATCGTAGATACGGACACGGACCGTGCCTGCTGGCTGTTGCCCTTGGGCAGGTGCAGGGCAGAGGGAGTCCAGGGGAGAGCAGAGGAGCAGGGGGACTCGGTCGTGGTTGCAGAGCTGTTCTCTCGGCGTGCCTCAGGAAGATTCATGAGCACATCATCTTTCAACTCCCCGCCTGTTCACCAACCATAGCAATGTTAGTGGCTGATTAACAACACTTACACTCACGCTCCTTGAGGCTACACGGTGGGGTTTTTCCCCTGCTTTGCACCTAGCCAAGGTACAAACCTAGCTTCTCCTCCCCTAACACTGATCAGCCAAAGTAACCTTGAGAATGGCAGTAACTACCTTTCTTTCCTGGAACTTCTAAATACCACTTAAACCAAGAAAGACCATTAGAATGGAAATAAGGAGTATATAGGAGGTCCTGATACCCATTTGGCAACTTTTCTCACTCTCAGGCGTGTAACCAGTGCATAGAACTCACCGGACACCTGGCACTGCACGGTCCCTCACAGGCAGCAGCAGCAGCACTCGGCACTGAGCTGCGGTGCTTGTATCAGCCAGAGCTGGGGCAGGGACAGACAGCTGGACAAAAAGACAACTGTCCTGTTGACCAGTCAGTGTTTGAAAACAGATCACAAATGCGGATTTTAAAAAATGCCATTTCATTATACAAAGTGAATGCTATAACTTCTGAACAACGGCTGGTTTTGCCACAGCGTGGATGGGAAATATTTGACAACCTGGGACAAGAAAGATTAGAAAAAAGGAAATATGGACCTGAGCTGTTTGCTGACATTTCCATTAACTAATCTTTGTGTTTTGCGAATGATATGAACTGTCATAATACCAACAGGAAACGTCACCTTTCAGTGACAGATTGATAATTGCTATAAAGAAAGAACTGATGCACGTTAGTACCAGTAGGGCATGAGAAACGCTCTCGTACAAACAGATTTTAGAGTGCCTTTGGAAGTGGCCTGGGGAAGGTGACGGGGAAGGAACACTGTGGGAATCAATCTTGAGCCTGACTGCTCTTAACTAACTTGGTCAGATCCATTTGCATGCTGGACACATGCATTCCTAATTACACAGTACCCTTCCGTCTGTAATTTCAAGGTAAATCAGGGTTCTTTCTAGCTCTTGAATCTGTTGTTGCAATTTGGCTAATGATTCACAGAATTCTAGCAAAGAAAAATAGCAGGAGGCAAGCAGTTTTAAAGAGAAGTGAAGCAGGTGGCACACTACAAGCTGCACAGTGATGAAGGGCTGTCAGAGCAATGTTTTTCTCTTCCAAAGCATTGAGCTGAACAATACTTGGGCTTCTAAACAAAGTAATGCCAAACTGTATTACACTTTCTCTCTGAGCTGGTGATATTTATTAGGTCAAGGATATGTGCACAGAATGCTGGTGCATTAGACACAACTCTGAACAGAGAGGGAATAAGGATATAGTCTATTGTGTGGGACAGGACATTTCTTCATGCATTTATTTCCATTTATTTCTTTATGTGACATGCTGTCAAAACCATAGCTCTGCGTGCATTTGATCACTGCCACTCCATGCGCATCCAAGAGCCATAATCTGATACCAGTTACAGAATATACCCAAAGGCACTGCCTAGAGGTTTTTGCACGGTGTCTCATACGAAAGGAAGCGTTTGGCGTTTGAGTTGCAGAGAAACTAATTCCTTAGAACAACAAGGCAGTCTGTACCTGATTCAGTCACCTTCCGTAAGCAGCTCAGTGCCCCATTGAGTCGGGAGCACTCCTCATCTCTGGCACCACATCTCTTCATTGTTTCTTTCACCTTTGACTCATTCATTTCTAGTAAGGCATCTAAGGTTAGCTCCTCTGGTATCCTCTGCAGAAAAACAAGACAATACTTCTTTGTTGAATATACATATAGAAATAGGACTGTCACTTGTTATTCTGATGTACTTTCAATAGTAGCCACTGTCTCACCGCCTGGTCTGAATCATGATCTGCTCATTTTGGTAGAGCATCTCTCTTAAGGACCACCGGGTCAGTAACAGCCGGGCAGCGGATCTCAGCAGCGCTCACCAGCTGCTTTCTCTCCTCCCCACATCATGAGAGACCAGGCCTACGCTTGAGCGTGCTCTGTATCACTAGGATGTTACGGTCTTTCTCTGGTGTTTAAGTTAAGATTCAAAGTGATTGAAATATTCTTCTCTCCTTGTAGAAAGCTTTCCCTCAGTATTTTTGAAAAGCTACTAATGAAAGCTTAACTTTTTCATTAAAAATACCAGTCAGAAACAAAACAGGCCTAAAACCTGAAAAAATGTGAGATAAAGATGTTTGGCTTTTCAGTAGGGAAGTGAAAAGTAAAAACAGTGAGGAAAATTACTTCTTTTGTTAAACAAAAAGAAATGTTTTGACAAAGAGATAGCAACCTCCTCCTCAGGCAATTTTTCCTTCATTAGAGAACTAGCCTTGCCCATATCTTGCTTGGAAAGATATCTTTGCAGAACTCCTTGTACCTCCTTAATACAGCAAAGCCCCCGAACTGACAAGGTTCAGATTAGGCAGACACAAAAGATACAAGAGACTGGAAGGCATGAAATGATCTGGTATTTCCTGACACCGAATTGAGCTGTGTCGCCTCTCTCCTCCCCCATTCAAATGTTTCCAGTGTAAGTCTGCAGCAATTGTGGTTAATAAACAAAACCAGGATATTTAGCCCAGATACCCAGGAATTTCCCTGAAAGTTTTGCCTAAACAAACCTCACTGCTGCCTACTCTCACAATGAGATCACGAATTTCACAATATTTGGCCTCTATCCTAAAGTTTCAGCTCCTGGGATCAAGCTACATAAAAGAGTTTCAAATTTTATTTTCAGGGGAAGCTCAAAAGTTGTTTCTCACTGTTTGAAGAAACAAAAAGCTTGAAATCCTCTAGATTCTCAAACTCTGCTTCCAACAAGAAATCAAATTTTAATGTTGTTGAATGTCCTCTAACAATTGCATCTTTCTTAATTCAGACTCATGACTTTGAGATCTGACGCATGACTTTGGATTTAACTGTGACAGTGCTAGAACCACGCACAATCTTTGGATCTTTGTAGGTGGTAACACAAGGAGTAATCACGTAGTTTCCATTTTTAGTCACTGTTGCATGGAACAAAGGAAAAGAATAAATGAAGAAAGGGCAGAAGTCTAAGAAATGCATCCTGCATCTTGTGTCACGTGCCCTGAACCGGATGAAACACAAAACACAGCCAACTCAAGGAGAGGCCAAGAATTTAAATGAGCAGTGAGCACGTAGTAGGAGCCAGACTTCCACGAAGTTTGGGTAAATTTTCTTGTTCTTCTATATTAATCTTACCAGAATAACAAAAGCACGGCTATCTCAGCTGACGTTGGGCATTATTATTCATTTTTCTGCACACCTGCATCACCACACGCAGGAGTAAGACTGCCCCCAAAAAGCTGGTTCCTGAATGACTTCCGCTTGGATAAAACGCAGGAAGCACAACAACTCCAGTGAGAACAGTGCAAAATCTGCCCTCCTCAGATTGCTAACCTGGTGTTACACTCCAAAGGACAAAAAACCCCAAGGGTTCAGATCATCGGAGTTGAAACTGGCAGGGGTTTCCACCACTCAGATATTCCAGTAAATGAACCAGTACAGGTTGGCTCACACAGAGCCTCAGCCAAGCTGGGCTGAAAACAACAGAATTAAACCGAGTCTTTCTTACAGCTTGTTATTTCCCTGGCAGCCCCCAAATTCCTCTCCCCTGCACGCAGGCGGGCAGTTCACAGAAGCATCTTTGTTCGGTGGTATCACAAGGGTGGTTCTGCGACGCAGGACGTCAGCCTCGGAGCGACACAAGCAGCTCTAAAAGGGGCAGCGACTGGGGGCAAACACAGAGCGAGTTTTGGCATAAAACAGAAGGAGGTTTCCTACACCACCACAGGTGCCCCTGGGCTCTGAGGCAAGGAAACTAACGTTTCCCCGTTGAGCATAAGGGAAAGCCAACGTCTCTTACAAAACCATTCATCCCACTTCATGCTTTTACACGGTCTTAAGAGTAAGTAGGATTAGAGTGATGTCATTCTGGAATTGTCTTACATCGTCTAACATTCCTCACCCCCATCACTCCCCACCAAGAAAACAACGCAGGTTACGTAGCCGCTGTTTGAAGCAGCGTCACTCTAGGTCCCAGTATAAGCTACCAAGTGAAGTTACAACACAAATGTAACCAGTAACTTACCAGAGCTATTAGTAAGTCAATCAGTAAAGTGGAAAAGACTACAACTTCCTTGTCACCACAAGTTCTTTTAAAAATCACAAAGCATCCCAAACTCTTGAGCCTGTTAGGGCATTTCTTCCTTGGTCTCACCCATCTGCAGGACATGATCACGTCAGAGGGTTGAGGACCCCTAAGCTGACCAGTTCCACTTCCTTTAGGCAGCTCTGCGCTTTGCACCTCGACCTGTGGCCTGCCATGAGAATCACAGAATCCTAGAATGGCCTAGGCTGGAAGGGACCTTAGAGATCATCTAGTCCAACCTCCCTGTTTTGGGCAGGGACGCCACCTCTCGACTAGACCAGGCAACACATGGGGACCGAGTGGGAATCGAACCCACGACCTCGGTGTTGGTCCTTGTTGCCAGCACCGCACTCAAACCACTGAGCTAACCAGCTACGAGTGTTCACACAAGGCAGAGCTGGGCAGCAAAGGGCAGCCCCGGCTCTTCTCTGCGAGCTTTGCTCTGCACCCCCGGGGCAATCTCACGCAGATGCTCGCCCTGCCGAGGGATCCACTCTGCCACTGGCTTCCCTCCTTCCTGGGCCTGCACATAAAGTCCAGTCTAGGCTTTTTGGTCAATAGTTTAATTTTAGAAGGCCAGAATAACAAGTTGTAGGAAAGTATAAGTACAGAAAAGGAGATTATATTTAAACAATCCCAATGACCTTGAGCTGGGAGAGCTCAGACTTTCTGAACCTGCTGCCAGCCCCCATGACACGCGACAAAAGAAATAAGCCTTAAAAGGGGGAGGAGGGAGGGGCAGTAAGAGGCTTTCTTTAAACAGCCACTCATGTGCTGCACATATGTGGTGGCTTAACCTAAAACTGGGCAACCCGATCCCTGTAAGATTGGCCTGATATGATTTAGCTCTGTGTTAGCCCACCAGTCAGTGCGACAGTGATGAGGGTCACTAGTGCAAGACGGCTCTCGAAACAGGTTCAGTGGCTGCTCATGCTCTGGCTCAGCTGTTCAGTTGCCCTGGCAGTGTCCATCCCAGAGAAGCACGGAGGAGTGGGCTCCAAGAGGAGTGCAAGTGCAATTCTGAGCCTTGCAAAGGGGCTACTCCCCATCTTCAGGACTGAGGGTGAGAAATGTGGGTCCACCAGACCTCTCTTTAGAGCCGAGCTAAGCACCATCTCCCTGGGCACACCTTGCCTTAACTAGAGAAAAAACAAGGTCAGATTTAAAAAAAGAAAAAAGAGGCAAAACTTGCTCTCAATCTATCAGCACCACAGAACTGACAGCAAAATCCAAAGCTTTACTCATCGCACAGTGTACAGCAGAAGCGATGCTAGAAAGCCCAAACCAAGAAATTATTCCTCTCTACAACAGGTAATGCTTTTCTAGAAAGCCCTCCTGCTTATCAGACATACAGACTGTGCACTTCATGCTACACACGTTTAAAACAGAGAAAAGTAAATCACAGCATGTTCAAGAAGCCATCCAAAGGTTAGCCTCAATTAGTCAGGGTGAAGAGTTCACAATAGCGTAAGAAGGTCTTTAATCTTGTCTGGTGTCCAACTTAAATCCCCGAAACATGGCAAAAATGCTGGTATCTAACACAGCGGATGGGTTATTTTTGGTAAAGATTCCTCCCTGCAGATAAGCCTACAGTGCTAATGCTGCTGCTAGCTCTCTGCAGAATCCTTCTGACCTGCTCCTTGACTTAGTAGACACGGCTCCTCCTACGAAGCTGGACAGTTGTCAAGGCTCCAAATGCCTCCTCTTAAATCAATACATTCCCTCACCAGCCACCCTCCCGTAAAGCAGCAGATGCTAGGGGAGAAAGCCCATTACATAAGGTGCTTAAATTCCCACTGATAGCTCCAAGCAAAGCATGTAAGGATGCTCTTAAGAACATCTTGTGCCTGTTAGCTGTTGTTTAGCTCTGGTTTTCTGGTGGCAAGTGAAGAAGGTACTGAAAAATTGTGGTGTTATTGAATTTCTGGAGATTTTATAGGCATTCCGGAAAGCCTCTCACATGAAACTTCTGGCTTGCACTAAGCTGTGAGCATATACAGGCAATGGTTTCACACAGCATCTCCCCCTTCATTGTTTCACCTCTCTCAGAGCAGGCGGGATGGGAAGGAGCTGACAGTCTCAGAGCATCCATCCCCATTCACTTTGCTCTCCTGGACAGGATAGCTGCTGTCACTTGCTATTTTTCTGTAGGAAGACCAGTGTGGCTGTTGCAGATCCTGCGAGGCAGCGTGAGCCTCGTGCTGACCTCAAACCATGAATGATTCACAGTAATCAAGGGGCACCTGGACCCCTTGGCAGGGGTAGAGAGTATTTTCCAAGAGCTGTTTACACTGGGGAGGGGCTTTCAGCTGGAACATAGTGATGGAGTTTTAGATCCAGGAAGCCTGCAGGACAGAGTTAATTTGCATACACACAATTAGCACATTCAGGATCTCTGCTATCTGGCAGTCCAGTCAGAGCTTCTGCTGCCAGACCCATGGAAATCCCCAGCAAACAGCCATCCTCACAGCCTGGTCGTGCAGATACGCTGACAGAAAAAGATGAGAGGATACAGCTGTGGAAACCCGATAGGCTTAGGCAGATCTGCCTCTTCTAGCCCCTCACCCCT